TAGAGGACAGGGGAAGGGGAACCGAAAGAGACAGGGAAGGATATCCAAGCGCGTTGAACAACGCAAGGACGGCTACATGAAAATTGACTACCGATGATAACGACGCCACACACACACACACACACACACACACACACACACACACACACACACACACACACACACACACACAGGTTTCATGGTGATTCGCTGTCTTCTTTCTCCTTGAGCTTGTAGCCTTGTGTCAACAGTTTTTGTCTGTACTGGTCGTACATGTGTCTTCGCTCAAAGTGGCGCACCTGAAAAGGAAGGAGGGAGGGAGAGTTGTGCGTGCGTGCGTGAGGGTGTATGTTTGTGCGGGGTCTGGCGTTTGAGTGTGTGTATGCGTGTGCAGCGTGTTGCTGTGTCGTGTGCACAAGCAGGGATTTCAATCAACACACACACACACACACTCTCTCTCTCACTCTCACAGACACACTCTCACACACACACACACACAGACACACGCACACAAACGCACACAAACGCACACACATACAAACACACACTCACACACACATACAAATGCGCACACATACATACACAGACATGAACCGAACAACACAAGGCCCTCCCTCCCTCACATCACGGCTCACCCATGCCGTGGGGCACTGTTCATAGAACTTCTTCTTCAAGTCATCGCATGCTTCCTTGCCCTTTGTTGCGCAGCAGTGATAGTACTCATCGCGTGCTGCCCAGCACGCCTTGCGCTGCTCCTTGCTCACAACCCCTTCGCTCATCTTGTTGCACAGATTTGGGTGCACTTAATTTATGGTGTCGCACTGGGTTGGCGGATATGGAAGTGCTTCTCGTAGAGGCCGCCGCTGTCATGCCTGCATGTGCGCGTGTGTGCTCTTTCGCGTGTATGTAATTGTGTGAGTGCGCCCCTCATTTGCGCGACGGTCGCATTAAACACCAGAGAGACAAGTCGCGCTGTGGCTGGATGCGTTTATTGCGGCTCATAATTGTACTGTGGTGTGGTGGTGTGGTGGTGTGATGTGATGACACGCAAACGCAACATATGACATGACAACCTCACATGCGTGAGCAACAAACGCTTCCCTCAACCCAGACCCAAGGACCCATGGCCTCGCTCCTTCGCTCGCTCCCTTCCCCTCTCAAGCCTTCAAGCTCCCTTCAGAGCTTCAGTGCCTCGTGCGGCGCCTGTGTGGCGGCACGTAGACCTCCGTTTGCCTTTGCTCCTCCTGGTCCTGGGTACCTTCAGTGCTACGTGTGGTTGTGAGCCCATCCAGGCCGGGCGGGGTAGAGACGCTGCGCGTGTGGCGGCGGCGGCGGCGATGCAGATGTTTCTGATCGCCACCGTGGCCCCAGCGAGCATTGGGATGAGGATGATGTGGCTGCCTCCCGTTTGGCCTGCTCACTCCGCTGTTGCGGCGGCGTGTCTCCGGTGAGGCCGGAGCAGAGGTTGTCACGGGAGTGTTTGCGTAAGCACGCGTATTGCCACAGTTGGCATCATAGCCGTATCCATAGCCGTCGCCCAGCATGTGCAATGATGAAGCACTGCTGTCAACAGAGGAGTCACGGGTGTTGCTGCCACTGCTGCTGACGCTGTGGTCGTCTTGGTAATCCTGGTAGTTGGAGTTCATGAACGACGAGAGTTCGCGCTCACCGTGGCGCTGCAGCAACCTGCCCATGTTCGTGGCTGTCTCACCATCCTGCTCATATGTTCGTTGCTGACGTTGCTGACGTTGCTGGCGGTGGTGGTGATGATGGCGGTGTTCGTCGCTTCTGCTGCCTCCGCTTCCTTTGCTGTCTCCGCTTCCTCTGCTGCCCCCACTTCCTCGTTTGTGCTTGCCACCCCAACCTCTGCTGCTGCTGACGGTGGTGGTGGTGGTGTGCTGTCGGATGCGCGTCCAGAAGGTGACTTTGGCGGCGCGTTCCTCGCCAAGCACGCGAAGCGCCCACTGCTCCAGCTGCGTGCTGAGCGGTACCTGGTGCATGAGCACGATCCCGGCGCCGTGCATGTCCACGTACTTTCGCAGCTTGCGCCCAAAGTCGTGCAGCAGCCGCGGGCAGGATGTCCTCGGGAAGGTGAGCCCGGACTTTACGTCAATCCACTGCACGCATGCACCGTTGATGGTCGTGGGCGAGTGGAACTTGATGTCTGGGGTGGCCACGTTTGTCTCGTGCGTCTTCTTCATCTCGGCCTCCACCAGGTACGCGCTGCGCGGCACGCCCATGGCCGCCAAGTCCGCTGTGAGCTGCACCTCCGCGTGCGTGGCCTGGCGCGGCTTCGTCTGCGCGTCCCTGTACGTGTACGCGGAGATTTTGTCTGTCTTGCTGCGGTGCGTGACCTGCTCGAACCAGAACCTGCGGTTTGCCTCGTCCGTCTTGGAGTAGTAGCGTTTCCCCTTGACGCAGAGGGCGCCCTCCAGCGCAATCAGCTCCAGCTCCTTGTCGGCAGCCACCATCGCCAGCCATTCTCCTCTGTAAACTCGGGTAGCGCAGCGGTGCGATCAGTGTCCGTGCTGGTGTCCGTGCTGGTGCCCGTGGTGTCATCATTATCATCATCGTCGTCGTTGTCGCCGTTGAATGTGGAGCCAGCATCGTTGTTATCAACATTGCCGTCATCAGCATCGTCGTCATCATTCCTGTTCTGCTCAAGACCATCCTCATCATTCTCGTCGTCGTCGCTGTCAACGGCGGCGTTGCGGAGGCATTCGCGCGCCTGGAGGACGAGGGCAATGCGCTTGCGGTTGTGGACCATGAGGCGAAGAAACGCCTCGTCCTCCACAATGTGGAAGAGCTCCGTCTTGGCGGTGGGGTCGAGGTGGTGCGGCGTGAGGCAGAAGTACTTGCTGAAGAGGCCGCCAACCAGCGCCATGCCCAGCGCAGTGACGCCAATGTTGTGCCTGCGGGCAAGCGTTTGCAGGTTCAGTTCGCGGCGGCGCCCGCGCGTCTCCCGAAACTCGTGCTGCCTGCGGTAGAGCGCCTGCATGTTGAGGTTCGACATGCGCTTCTGCCAGTCCATGAACAGCGTGACAACGAGCGCCTGCCTGCTGTGGGCAAAGGCGGGGCGGAGCTGGCGATTCAACGCGGAGAACGCGCGCCCCCCAACAGCAGCGCGCACGTCCTTGTGGCTGTGGCACGGCTGATGCACGTCCACAGGGGTTGGCAGCGACTGGAAGATGCGCTCGATGACTTGGTCGTCCACGCGGACATCCTGCCGCCAATTCGGGTTGACGTAGCTGGTGCTGGTGCTGGCTGTGGGGGTGATTGCCGGCTTGATGGTGGAAGTGGAACTCAGGGAACTGGAGGGCATGTCGAGGCAAGGGGTTGGATCAGGTGTGGGAAGAAGCCCTTCTGGCTTGTATGCGTAGGTCTGCTGCTCTTGGCGAGGAGGGTAATGGGACCGAGAACGGTTGTCGTTCATGCTGGTTGTATTGGGATCAGAAGGATGAAAATGAAAGGAACGTGGGAACGGGAATGTTGTGGAGACGGGTGGGAAGTGTCTGGTTTGTAGACTAGCTGAGCGTTGTCGACGAGAGCTGGCTTGTTCAAACTGGCCTAAACCTTAGTTGTTTGGTTCCTGGCAATAAGTTGATGTAGTGAGACAGCACTACAATACAAATCCTGAACTTAAGTGTCGTGAAGGAGTGTCAAGGCCGAACTTAAGGGTATCAAGGCATAGTCCTCCCGGAGTTCAGGACCAACACAGATTCCGAACCACACAACAGAACGGAACTACCACTCCTCACCAAGGACACCAACACCCAAGATCCGACCCCCTTGCTCGTCTCTCTTGACCTTGTGCCTGTCTCTACTTTCCTTGCTTGATTGTTGTCACTTATCTTATCACTCCACTTATCTCATCGCCCCATCCTATTACCCTGTCTTCTTTACTTGCGACTACGTCTCCCGCACAGTATACAGCAAGACCCTACTCTAAGTCCCAGTCAAACACTCTTACACACACACAGACCAGTCACATCACAACACTTGGTAGCGATTGTCGTTCTACGATTCTCACCCGCATATCTCTCTGTATACCTCCCAACTTCCCAACCTTTATCAGGTCACGATGCCCCGCTCTACTCCTTCGGTTTCCAGCGCCAATGCTATCAACGCTCCTCGTCTTCAGGAGGACGCCAAGCCATGCGTCTCGGACCTTGTTGCCAAGCTTGTGGACAAGCCCTTCGACAACCTGGAATGGTTCGCCAACTTGTGCAAGCTCTACGGCTCCCACCCGATGGACAATCTCAAGTACGCCATCCCGAAGACGAACGACGATAGCTTCTCGCGGATTGCGCTGGACTTCTGCCAGGAACATGCCGACACGGCGCAGGCGAGTACCGAGGACAAGGACAAGCTCTGGCAAGTCTTTCTCAACACGTGCTCGGCTCGCTTCGCCCCCCGATGTGATTGGTCTCGGCACATGGACATCGCCCACCTGGAGATTCGCACGGACGAGGACCACGCCGCGTACTCGGAGCGCGCCCGCAGCCTGCTGGCCAACGTCAATCCCGAGCTTCACGTGGTGTGCACGTACCTCGCCGGGTTCCACGACACGCGTCTGCAGCTCTTCATCTCGGACAAGCAGCCCAAGACTCTGCACGACGCCATCATCCTCGTGGACCGGTACTTCTCCATCGTGCGCAGCAAGCGCCGCCACGACACGGCCTCTTCCGACCTCAAGCGCAGCAAGCGCTTTCCACCACAACAACCGCCGCGCTCGCACCAGCCTCGCATGAGGAACCGTCGTCCCAAACAGCATCAGCTTCGCAAACTGCCACCGTGCAGTCGGTGCGGTCGCACCAACCATGTCGTCAGTGATTGCCATGCTCGGCGTCACGTGAATGGCAAACAGTTGGATGGGCCAACGGCCACCAACACGGTGCGTGTCAACCCGACACAAGCCGGTGCTGAGCTGCATGATGCCTCGCACGTTCCTCCGCCTCCGCCTCCTCGACGTCTTCCACGAGTTGATCCAGCTGAGTCTGTTTCGCAGCTCACTGAGTCCGTGAAGCAAATTGGCATCGTTGAGGACATGCAATTTGACGAGGAAGGCAGGCCGGTCACCGTTGTGTCCGTGAACGCTTGCACCCGCAACTCCTCTTTGATTAGCACTAATGTGCTCTTCTGTAACAAGAGGCTGCGAGCGCTTGTGGACACTGGGGCCGAGAGGTCATTGTGTAAACTCAGCAACTTTTCTGAGACACGTCCCGGAGCTAAGCTTACGCTTGCTCTCGCGGATGGCAGCACCAGCACCACCGATCGTTACGCCACTGGCAAGATCGAGTGGTGTGGCCATGTCACCAGCATGTGCCTGCCAGCAGTGAAAGATCTCTCTGTGGATCTCCTGCTCGGTATGGATTGGCTGCAACGGGCCCAACCCGTTTTCGACTTCAACAGTGGCACGATTTCGCGCAAATGTAAGTCTAGCCAAGTAGATGTACACAGTTTATGCACAAAGTATGCACCTGTGTTTTTGGATTTGACTTGTATGCCTCCCTCTCGAGGAGAGTTGGATGTGGATATCCCACTTGTCACTAATGCGATGCCCCCCAAGTCACGGTGCTATCGCCTGAGCTCACATGAGTTCACCACAATGCAGGAAACGGTCAAGGACCTCTTGGACAAGGGGTGGATCCAACCGTCCACTTCATCTTGGGTTTCTCCTGTACTATTTGTGGTTAAAAAGGACAAGAACTTGAGGATGTGTGTGGACTACCGTGCATTGAATGCATTAACGATCCCTAACAGATACCCTTTGCCCCTGCTGTCCGAACTCATTACAAAAGCATCTGGACATTCTCTGTTTACATCACTTGATCTTAAATCCGCATATCACCAAGTGAGACTCAAACCAAAAGCACGAGAGCTGACAGCATTCTTCGCACCTGGTATGGGTCAGTTTGAGTACACGGTCCTTCCTTTCGGGCTGGCAAACGCTCCTGCCCAATACCAACGCATCATGGATCACATTTTGAAAAATCTTCCCTCCGAAAACGTCTCCTGTTACTTGGATGACATTCTCATTCACTCTTCAAATGGGATTGATAATCATCTCCAAATTGTTGA